TCCATTTTGATTTATTGGGCTTTGGCAGGAATGATAAGTACCACAATTGTTCACTTGCGTAAACTGGGCTGAAATACATCATTTAGGGCTAGGTCCATTCAAGCGCGACAACCCACACTCTCCCGATTCCCAGTTAGATAAAACGGCAGCATACAACCCTAGCATAGTAGTCTTCCTTCCCTTCCAGGCCGAAAAACATCTATCGTTTCTGCAGGCGCCGCAGTGGGGAAAAGGAACAGAAGCAGTAGCCATGGTACTATATCCCATTTACTGAATAATAGTTTCTGACTCAAAGCACTAGCATTTCTTGTTGCATTTAATTATGTTAGCAATGGATTTGTTTTCCTTTAGCTTTAAGGAGTTTCACCTCTTTTTTTTTTTTGGCTGATTGGGTTCATTAGGGTATCGATCTAAAGGCCGGAGGTAAGAGCAAGAAGACGAAGCGGACCGCTCCCAAATCCGATGATATATACTTGAAGCTGCTGGTGAAGTTGTACCGGTTCCTTGTGAGGAGGACCGGTAGCAAGTTCAATGTGGTGATACTGAAGAGGTTGTTCATGAGCAAGATTAACAAGCCTGCTCTTTCGCTTTCACGGTTGATCACTTACACCAAGGGCAAGGTGCCTATCTTAACTCCCTCCCTCTGCCATCATTATGCCCTTTTTGGAGAATGTTATGGGAATAATAAGATCTTTGCTACTTATTTCGTCCAGGGTTAAGAACTGGTGTAATATTTCCATTCTGTTAGATTTAGGTTGGCGAATTTGAACTGCTTCTATACACAGGAAGCTCCAGGGATGGAAATGTTGAAATAGCAAACGGTTCCTATCTTCTTATTTAAAATTTTTGACTGGTTGATTCATTTCCTTCATTCTCTATCGGTGCTCAACATTTAGTACCCTGCCCCTGAGTCCATTCAGGACAAAGTGCAATCTAAAAGCCAAATATAGTAGTATTATTCTGTGTTAATGTAATTGAGTGTAGAAACATGTGTTTGGTATGGTGGTTCTCAGGAGGACAAGATTGCAGTGGTTGTTGGGACTGTCACCGATGATACTCGTGTGTATGAAGTTCCTTCACTGAAGGTCACCGCACTTAGATTTACTGAGACTGCGAGGGCTAGGATTGAGAAGGCAGGAGGAGAATGCTTGACTTTTGATCAGCTCGCTCTAAGGGCTCCTCTTGGCCAGAACACGGTATGTGTGTGTGTATACCACCATGATGCTCTTCCCTTGCATGTTTTCTTTCATCTGGCTGGCCCTTAGAAATATGTAACAGGTTCTCTCTCTTTTTTCCTGGGAAATTTTAGTTTACCTGTTAGGTGCAAGGGAATAATTTAGTTTACCTGTTAGGTACATGTAAAAGAGTGATAACATTGCTTGTAATCGTACCTTGTATTCGGATTGTTCATGCTTTTTTTATCTCAATGTGATTCGCTGGCAAGTCTTTCTATGACCTGTTTAGGCTCAGTAAACCTCTGTAAGCTTCTTGCTGAGGCCAAATTGGATATGTTAGATGGGTTTGCAACCTCTTGTGTATTAAGTGTCTAAATGGTTTCTGAATTTATGACAGTAGTGAATAGCTGGAGATTTATGTTCCCCTCAAAGCCTGTGTAATTTCATATGTTGCAGATGGGCAGAAGGGAACTAAATGTAGTTGTTAGAAAGACGCAATTGAGTGGTTTTTGACTTATACGAGGCAATCTTTATGAATATTGAACTTTTAAGATGAAAAATTAGTCGTATTTACCTCTTAGAACTAACTGAAAATTCTTCGAATCTCTGTTCTGGCATATCTACCAGCTTCTTTTTGACCAAAAATCCCCAAAAAATTTAGTTAATGGCATGGATTTCTTGGCTGTGGAACTTGTTCATTTAGTTAATGGCATGGATTTTTTGGCTCTACAATGCAGGTACTTCTTAGAGGGCCTAAGAATTCTCGTGAAGCAGTGAAGCACTTCGGACCAGCTCCCGGAGTACCACACAGCAACACCAAGCCATATGTTCGATCCTCGGGAAGGAAATTTGAGCGAGCTAGAGGAAGAAGAAATAGCAGAGGATTCAGAGTTTAAGTTGTTGTCAATTAATTGTTGAAGGCATACTAATATACACTATTGAGATGCGTGCTTGAAACGTTCTGCCCTGCCCGCCTATTTGCTTTCCTTGTTGTTTCTCCTTAAATTATTTTTTTCGTGTTTGAGACCTACTAGACGTAACATTTATCCGTAGCAGTCTCTTGAACTTGCACCTATATTTTTAAAAATGTGGACAGCGTCCATGGCTGAGAGTACATTTCAAGTAAACATTTCATACTTTGAGCAGGCAGTGGTGCCATTTAGGAAATTTTCCATTCGGATTCATATCCTTCTTCTTTGCAACATATCTAAATTGGCAAATTTGGGAGAGGACTTGGCAGATGTTCAAATAATGTCGCTCTTCACTATAATAATTGAGTCAAAACTGGGCCAAAAAAAAAAAAAAGAAACCGAAAATGAGCATGGGGATTTTTTGAGTTATTTTTTTATTTAAATTTTTTCATGTAAAAATTTCCATTTGCTGAAAGACAATTAACGAGACACAATAATAATTTGAGGAATAAAATCTTACTGCTTCCTATAGAAGACTCGGCTGCTGATACCGTTAAAAGCAATATTATAGCGGAAATAAGCGAGTGTTCGGTGATTGTAGCTACTAAGTTTGTACGATGCCTTTTCAATTTCATACGAGTACAAAGGAGAGGTAACAAAATTACTTACACTAGGTTTTTTTATTTTATTTTATTTCAGATACATTTAATAAGAGTATTTCCGTAGTAAGCACCCTCTTATCATAATAGATTGATCTTGCTCTTTCAATGGTCATTATGATAGCGTGCTATATGAAAATTTTGTTCATTCAAGGAAATTAATAAAGTTTTGTTTAGAACAATAATACATTTGTACATGCTTTACTGCAATCATATGTATGAGGGACATAAAAAGTATAAAGCCAAATATACGGGAGGATTATTTGTATGATCTTCCCTTCTTAATAAACTCACAATCTTTTTTCAACTCGTTGTGTGATGAAATATAAGAAAATTTTAAACACCAATATAGGTACTTATCACATGTATTAATTTTTTTTATAGACTGTTAGTGTATATATTGACAGGTCTAAATATATATTACATCATTCTAATTTAAATTCGAACATCAAATTTTGTTAATATGATATGTATTTAAACACGTATACATTATCAGTACATAAAAAACTTACTCTTATAAAATACTATATTTGTTCTTTTAACATAATGCAAAAAAAAAAAAAAGGGAAATAAGGATAACCATTTTAGTAAAAGACCAACATCAATGATATTTTTCTTCCACAACTTCCTAACAATATATAGGCTAAAGCAAGCAGTTTTCTGTCGGAAAATTATGTCGTTTTCCGTGATCACATTTCCCTATTATATTTTTCTCTCACATACATCAAATTGCTACAGTATTTTTTAAGTTTTTCTTCCCCTCTTTTAAGTTTCCGTGATTAAATGATTTCAACAAACGGGACCTTAAGTTTCAAATCTTATATTCTTAATCCTGAACTCCCAAACTAGGTATTACTTTTTTTTTAAACAGTAACGATAACATTTTTATAATCTAATTTATTCTAATCTAAAGAAAAGGAAAACATAAAGAGGTTATGTAAGGGGTTAGTAGGTATAGGAACCTACCGGACCAAATAGTTGCTATGACACTTATTTTAAATTTTTTTAATTGCAGATAGAGTTCGAATCCCCCCTGACTTATAGTCCAAACTAGCCATTACATAGGGCGAAAATTCATGTGTTCAAACAATTTCTTTTTTTTTTTTTTTGTTGGGTGGAAGAGTTCAAAACAATTTCGACCTCTGTATTGGTTCAAATGCTGTAACCTCCTTATTCCAACTTTTGTCATCTTCCCGTGCGACTTTCTGATATCAAATACGACTACGCTTACTATATTGCGTTGTATCATTCGCTCATATTTAGCGAGTACTCACTATAAAAATGATTAACAGACTACCCACATACTGCTACGACTACGAGCATCCGAGTTTTGGTTCTTCAACTTTTCCACAGTACCCAATGCCAACAAAATAAAAAATTAAAATTGAAAAAAGGCCGCCCGATTGGCGAAGTTGAAATCATCCATCTCCATGGACAAAATACAGCACAGACAGGTACCCGTTAACGGAATAAACCTGCACGTAGCGGAAATAGGCGATGGCCCTGCGATATTATTCCTCCATGGCTTCCCAGAGCTCTGGTACTCGTGGCGCCACCAGCTGCTCTCACTTTCTGCCAAAGGTTACCGGGCTCTTGCCCCTGACCTCCGCGGCTATGGGGACTCCGACGCCCCGCCTTCCCCTTCCAACTACACCGCCCTCCACATCGTCGGGGACCTGGTGGGCCTCCTCGACTCCCTGGGCCTCGACCGGGTCTTCCTAGTGGGCCACGATTGGGGGGCCGTCATGGCCTGGTACTTTTGCCTGCTGAGACCTGACAGGATCAAGGCCCTGGTGAATATGAGCGTTGTCTTCACCCCTAGGAACCCCAAGAGGAAGCCCTTAGAGGCTATGCGCGCTCGTTTCGGGGACGATTACTACATCTGCAGATTTCAGGTGCTTGCTTCCGCTAATTTTTTTTTTTTTTTTTGGCCGCTCTTCTTCTGGCGTTAACTTCACTTTTGAAATTTTAAGTCCATTTTTTGTTGTTGATGATTTGCTTAAGAGTGAATGGCCCAAAAGGTCATTAAATTATTAAAATTGGCACCTTCTGGTCACTAAATTTTTTTTGTGGTCGAAAAGGTCACTAAACTCGCAAAAACTCTCCAGCGAAGTCATTTTATCGAATTTCAGCGGTTCCTCATCCGGTAACAGGGTCAATATGTAGGGGAGGAATATAGTAAAGGGGCAAAAATGTCAAACAAAATATGATCAACCTTTTTCCTTCGTTGAATCTTGATAACAAGGAATCTGCTCTAAAATCAATTTACCAATCTCAATCCCGCAACCCGCAACGTCTCACGTCCTCTTTAGCCCCACAATAACACTTGGTTTTAACCAATTTCGGGCACGAGGGGCAGGGCCCTGGGTGACACAACAACAAGCATTCGTGCCCACAATTGTATGTCAACGGCCTACCACAGATTTCTCCACAAGAACTTATGAGGTGGGTTTTCGAGTTTTCCACAAAAACAATAGTAATACTTGGGGGTCTGCGATTTGGGATACTCGATCCGGCATTTGGGGCAATGCCAGCGGAGGGTGTCATCGTTAAGAGTGGCGGCGCGTGAGGCAGCCCGTGCAGCTGCAAGATTTGAGGATTGGTGGGCCCAGGATTGGATACAGAGGAGGTGGAAGACTGCGAAGCAGCGGGAGGAGCAGGACCAGGTGGGATCGGTGGGTTTGATCCGTTCAAGGCATATGAGGCATGAGAGAGCCCCTCAGGAACGATTGGATCTTTATCAGGTCTTGATGTTGAGGGGAGGATTGGTGACCGGTGAGTTCGAGGTAGGATTTAAAGATGGAGGAGAGGTCAGTGAGTTGGTGCTAGCGGGAACTGGTGCCGGAGTCGGAATCTGAGTCGGAGGACGGTGGAGAAAGTGGCGGTAGGAGGGTAGTGTTGGAGGTCGCCATTACGGGCCTTCCTGCGGAAACGAGGGTTTGGGATTGAGACAATCTATGACTTCACCTATTCCAATAATCTTTCGGACATTTTTGCCCCTTTACTATATTCCTCCACTACATATTGACCCTGTTACCGGGTGAGGAACCGCTGAAATTCGATAAAATGACTTCGCTGGAGAGTTTTTGCGAGTTTAGTGACCTTTTCGGCCACAAAAAAAGTTTAATGACCAGAGGTGCCATTTTTAATAGTTTAGTGACCTTCTGGGCCCGTCACTCTTTGCTTAATTTGTGGGCCTTTCTTTTGTTCTTGATGTTTCGGTTGTTTTGCTACTGCTAGTCATCTCTTTCTTTTCGGTTAAGCAAAAGATAACAGGGCTGTAAGTACAGATTTTTTAGCTTGTACGTAAGTGCAATATGTCGTTGCTCTGCCTTCTCATAGTCATGCATCTGCACTGAGCAGCAAACTTCTGGTAAGTTAGGATTATTAACATTGTAGAGACACACAGATTAAGGAGAGGCTTATGTGTGCATCGATTCTATTTTAGGCAAGCTGTTGGATTTCAAGATGGGTATTGATCATGCTTCATTGATCTAACTCAATGAAAATTTCAGGATTTGGTGCTTTATTACCTTTAGGTGTCACCTGAGCAAGCCCATAGGTTACAGGTTTTAGTTAGGTCTGGATGACTATTCATTATCCGTTTGATATCTTCCAGCTGCCAACTTTGGCAGTTGAAAATTTCACCACCTGTCTTCAATTTTGTCCAACCTGCAATGGAGTTTATCTCGATGAAATATCTAATTACCTGCCTTGTCATTTCATTTGTATCCTTGTTTTGTTAGGAGACTGCAGCTTGCAAGAGTTTTGTTTTTCATTTTTTATGTTCAATTATTGTGAAGATGTCAATTTGAGCTTATAGAAGACCTATAGTATACTTTTAAGTACAGTACATATTATGTAGCCCGTTTCATGTTGTAGTCTGTGGAGTTTTGGTGAAACAGCTGCCTCTTAAGTCATATTTCGGACATGAAATGCTTCTTGGTTTAATCATTCAAGTGAGCAAATGCATTGGCCTTCTTTCTACATGATGCTAAATAGAAATTCATTTCCTTTCTTGATGGTTTTTTCCTGTAGGAACCTGGAGAAGCAGAAGAGGAGTTTGCTCGTGTTGACACTGCAAGGATAATAAAGAAGTTCTTAACATCTCGAAGACCAGGCCCTCTGTGTGTACCTAAAGAGGTAGGATTTGGAGGCTCACCTCATAACCCAATCCAATTGCCCTCTTGGTTATCTGAAGATGATGTCAATTACTTCGCCAGCAAGTTCAGCCAGAAGGGCTTCACAGGTGGATTGAACTACTATCGAGCTATGGATCTGTGAGTTTTTACTCATCAACTCTCTTTTCTTGTCACAAAAACCAATCCTTTATCCTTGTTTGCCTCTGAATTCTTCCTTTGCTTTGTTTTTTCTTTCACTTGTCATATAACCATTGACTTGCATTGTTGCAAAATTGAGCCTTGAAAGTTAAATGCCTTCAGTTAAACTTAATAAATAATATGTTGCTGATCAGCTCAAATCAGACTTGTGTTGACGTATGCAGTTGTAATATTGCAGCTTCACCTGGTGTATTTGCTACATTAGAACAAAAAGTTAAGATGTTTAGTTGCAAAGTTTGGCTCGTTGATTTGAATGTGATTGAACATTGATATTGCAAGAAATTAGCTACATTTACTTAGATTAGCTTACTCTTTTTATTCAACAAAGACATTCCGTTACTATCACGGAAGATAACACAGAATTAGGTGCATAATTTTCTTTGACTGCTGCAGAAATTGGGAGCTCACAGCTCCTTGGACAGGATTGCAAATAAAGGTGCCTGTTAAGTTTATTGTGGGAGATCTTGACGTGACTTTCACTACCCCGGGTGTGAAGGAATATATCCAGAAGGGTGGATTTAAAAGAGACGTGCCGTTCTTGCAGGAATTAGTTGTAATGGAAGGAGTGGCTCACTTTGTTAACCAGGAAAAGCCAGAGGAAGTTAGTGCCCACATCTATGACTTTATCCAAAAGTTTTAGTACTTTTTCACCATTCGCAAATGTCATTTTACTGCATCTCCTAGTTGTGATCTTTTAAAGGTGTCGTGTTTGGAATAGGATATCCTATAAATATCCATGGGACGGTAGACTGTTCCTGGTCAGGATATTGCTTATTTCCTTCCAAGAAATAAAGAAGTTCGTAGTTTGTTTTTTTTTTGTGTCGAGAATATTGTTACTTCAATAAAAGATGTGTAAATATCTTGAGAAAACTTCTTACTGTATTGACTAGAGAGCTGGTGCAATACCTTTTTTTTTTTTTAACTGTATTGACCGCAGAGTTAGTGCAATACATCAAGGAGCCCCTGAGATTTTAAGAACACGTTCATACAAGAGTCGCCCGCTTCCCCACCCTCGGGGTAGTTTATTCATGCAACGCTGTGATTGGACTTTAGGTACGAAGACAGAAATAGAGTAGCATAGAAACTGATATACCTTCTTTTTAAGGGCATATTACTCTGGATGGAACAACCGGTCAAGCAATGTCAATTTAACACATTGCGGATCAAACAGAACTGAAACTATCAACAAAGCGGCTTTGTTTTAGTAATGCCTGTCATATGGTTATTATGCTAAGGTCAAGAAGGTATTTCTGAAAGTTGCCAGATATCTGCAGTCTCTCCAAGGATTCAAAAACTTCTAAAGCGGCATGAATACTTGATGAAAAGCATAGAATTAACAAACAGAAATCCTTCCATTAGGTTCATGAATTCAAACTTTTGGGAACTCCATCCTAAAATGAAGGCTTACGGAGGAACCCTTTATTTGGAGTTAGAAAGCAGGAAATAGGAGCAGATAATTGCTGTAGAAACTAGAACTTGCTGATGAAATCATAAATGTGGATGCTGCACTCGTCTGCCTTTTCCTGGTTGATAAAGTGGGCAGCTCCTGGTATCACAATCACTTCTTGCAAGTCAGGAACATCTTTCTTGAATCCTCCATTGTGTATGTAATCTTGGATGCCCGGTATATGATAAGTTAAGTCGAGATCGCCCACCACAAACTTAACAGGAACTTGAATTTGCGCTTCTCTCCATGGTGCTGAAAGCTCCCAGTTTCTGATACATTGGCCATATATACTAATTAGGTGGAGATGAGAGCATGAGTTTCTTTATAATATAAAACTTGTGAGCTTATACAACCGATAATTCCTTTTTTCATGTGTCTCAACTTTGACAATCGCTCTGTGATTGATTGGGATAGTGCTGGTGTTGTGAAAATTATCTGATTCAACCAGTGGGGAGTTTAACGTGGGCGTGGACTCATTTCTTGTTAAATGTTGATTAAAATGTTGTGGAGTATCAAGTGCCATCAGATTATTGAGAATCGAATTTAAGGAGGACGTGGTATTAGGGGTAGCAGAAGTAGTAGAAAACTCTTACTTACAGATCTATACAGCGATAGAAGTTGAATCCTCCGCTGAAACCTGTCTTCTTGAATTTAGTGGCATAGTAATTCAGGTCTTCCTGTGTCAGCCATTCGGGCAATGGGTTGGGATTTTGATGAGCAAAATACTGAAAACCACCTCTAGGAATACAGGGTGGACGTGTATCACGATTTGAAAAAAATGCCTTCACAAGCTCGGCAGTGTCGACGCCGGCAAACTCCTCTTCCACCTCTCCCGTTGCCTGCTACGAGAAGAAACAGTAGTAGTAGTAATCTTCCCCCAAAATGTTGTTATTTTTGTGTTGTTGAACTGAAAAGTACAGAAATTATACTGAGCAGGGGGCCGGGAATGGGATGAAATATGCAGAGCAAGTTTGTATTTTTTGAAAGGCTTATTTAGGAGCAAGCATCAAAATAATCTACAACTCCTCAATTAAGGTCCCGAAGTTCCATCTGTTTAGGAATTTTTCTCTAGCATCCTCTTAACCAAAGCCCAAAGCTTTTTGGCAACAGTTTTACTAATCCTAAATCCCGTGAGAACCCCAAAAGCCGGTATCTTTTGAGGTCTCACAGGGAACTAATAAACCCATTCCAAACCCCCCCAGAACTCCGATGTGGGACAAAGCCTCCACAAACGGAGGAAGCCTGCTACTAGGCCCAACTGGAAACCCGACCCCCCCCAGAGGCTGCTTTCTCTTAACCAAAATCCAAAGCTTTTTGGCAACAGTTTTACTAAAAACTAAATCCCGTGAGAACCCCAAAAGCCGGTATCTTTTGAGGTCTCACAGGGAACTAATAAACCCATCCCAAACCCCCCCAGAACTCCGATGTGGGACAAAGCCTCCACAAACGGAGGATTTGTCTAGCATCCTCTCCTCAATAATCTACAACTTCCGTCCATGGATGGTTTCACTTTCAACTACTAAGTAGTGGTAAAGAATATGGGATAATTTCAAAAATCTCCCCTCAGGGAGGTTTTTAACTATTGCAGAAAACTCCCTTCTAATTTAAAAAATTACACCTACTTCCCTCATAATTAGTATTTCAGTAACCATATAGACCCATTATGCTATCCTAAAATACTCCTTTGTTATTTAGAAAAGAGAAAAACAAACTAATAAATTTTTTTCACATTGCAATTATTATAAACGACAAAACTACCATCCTAACGAATTCAATAAACCACTTCATCTTAATTTTCATATTTTTACAATTTTAACAATTGCCGCCACAAAACCTCCCTTGCAAATCAACTATGACAATTAAAGTCTACATTCATCTTAATATTTAGCCTCATTTTTTTTTACCTAAATTCAATATTTGAATTAACCAATGTTACTATTCAACCTCATTATTACTAAAATAAAGTAACCTACCAAGAATATTAATATGCAGTAACCAAAAGTAATGCTAGAAACCACATTCCATGTCTTTAGATAAATCTGATTGTAATTTTTATATCTCAAAATTCTTTTTTACATAATAGGCATAATTGACATAATACCGTAATCTTCTTTAATCCACGTTTCCTTCTTAGCTATCATTTTTATTTTATTGTATGCACTATGTATCACCGTCATTTTTTTCACCTTTATTTAATTTGACAACAAATATGATCGTGCAACTTGTCATTTTGTAATTTTAAGTGAATAATATTTATAAAAAAAAGACAAAAAAGAGAAAGTGTGTCTGTTTGCAAAAAAATAGTGAATTATAAAATGTAGGAGAAAAAAGATAAAAGAAAAAGTCTGAGAGATAGAATAAGGGTTTGGTTTGTGTGACAACAATTATTTTAGAATAAAAGATTAGTTGTAATTGTAGAGATTTTCTATTTGTAGGAATTATTTATAAATAAAAGATATTATAGTCATTTTACTATATAAGAACGGAGGTTTGTGTAATTATTTAAATCTGAAGGAACGTGAGTGAAATTATTCCAGAGAATATTTTACCTGAAATCTGCAGACATAGTAGTCATCACCAAAAGTCTCGCGCATCTCCTCTAGGGGCTTTTTGGATGGATTTTTGGGGTCGAAATAGTGGTACACACAACTCATGTTGACCAGGGCCTTGATTCGATCCGGTCGGAACAAGCACAAGTGCCATGCTATGAGAGAACCCCAGTCGTGGCCCACCAAGAACACCTTATCTAGACCCAGACTGTTCAAAAGGGCCACAAGATCTCCGACAACATGGAAGGCCATGTAGCTGCTGGGACCCGGCGGCGCGTCAGAGTCGCCGTAGCCTCGGAGATCGGGGGCAATAGCTCGGTAGCCTTTGGAGGCAAGATACAGCATCTGGTGGCGCCAGGAGTACCAAAGCTCCGGGAAGCCATGTAAGAGTAACACCGCTGGGCCTTCACCAACCTCAGCTACGTGCATATTTATGCCGTTGACAACTACACTTTGGTGCTTTATATTCTCCATCTCACTGCTTAAAGACCTTTTTGACTTGCTAATGTACCAACGGGCTAGGCCGAGACTAAAGAGAAGAGAGTTTTCAATTAGTCACAGAATCACTCTTAGATGTTCTGCACGCCAGGTGTTTGTAAAAATTTCTTGTAAACGTTGTTGTGAAATACAAGATGGGTTGTGTTGGTGTGTTTGTAAAAATTTCTTGTAAACGTTGTTGTGAAATACAAGATGGGTTGTGTTGGTCTAACTTTTGCGTGTGTTCCTCTTATTTTGCCTAAGTATTTTACGTTGTTAAATACTTGCGTGCAAGTGAGTTTATAGGCTAACTGGTAGCGCGGCTTATCAGTGCCGTTACGCATGTGGTTTGTTAAGGAAAGTCAACACCTCGTAACAACTAGCCTAATAGCTCACCATGCCTTCACTTTTGCTTGCATTTATGGGTCTTGTATAAGAGGAAAATCGTAATTTAGGGAGTATTTGATAAAATTGAAATGTGAATTATGCATTCAATATTTATTAAATTATTAAATTGTAAAATATAAAGTCTGATAAGTCATTGAATTGTTAATTACGTATTAAAAAAAGATAGTGCTTAGAAAATTTATTTATTACTTATTTATGGGAGGGAGTTTTGTTTAAAAAATTCGATGTTATTTAATTAATCCAAATATTTAATTTTTTATTATCAAACCCGTTTTTAACATGTTAAAATTTGAATTATTAAATTTAAATATTGAATTGAATTATTCAATAGGATCATAGTTTCAAAGATGGGATGATGTCCCGAATTTCTGGTTTGACCATAAAAGAAAAACACAAAAAAAATTTTTTTTTTTTTTGCCCTTTCGGGTGGGGTTAAAAAACACCCATGGAACGCTCCTAATTTAAGGATGAGCGAGTGCATGTGAGGGAAGGTCCCAAACGTTACGCATTAATTACCCGCATGGTGTCAGGACACAGCAATCGATCTTCCAAATCAGACAAATTAGACAAATTGATTTTGCCCCAATGCGCAACGCTGTCGTTCTTTTTAAAGCTTCAATAACTGAACGATGTCGTTCCACTTAAATGTAGCAGAAACAGCAATAGGTAGAACGACGTCGTGGAGGGTACTCCAATTCATTAGCACGACGTCGTGTAGCGCATAACAGATTTAGTTAGCAAATTTGATTGTCTGTTGCTTCATCCTATTTGTACTATTTTGATTGGCGGAAAAGGTATCAGAGTTTATACCAGAATTTCCCTCTTCCAAATACATTTCTATAACCTCTACTTTTTGGTCCTCAGGAATCTGGTAATTTGTGCAGTACTTATTGCATTTCCTAATCCACTCTCTCGGATTCTCGCCACAGAACATAGGTAAATCAATTTTAGGAGGATTTGGTACAAAGATCTTACTTGTTTCCTTCCTGAGAGTCCTGGTGTTGTCCGAGCCAATCTGTAGCCTCTGATTGAATGGAGGAGTTGGTAGGAGTGGAGCTTGCTCACTCCTTTGCCTGTCATCCTCTGGAGCAGCTCTGTCTTTGCCAATTACTGCTCGCATTAAGGCGCCAAACTCCTGCTTTACTTCAGCTACCAAATTCTCCACCTTCCTACTGCTTTCTTCCAATCCTGTACGGAGTTCCACCTGCAGTTGCTGCTGTTGTACTTGCGAGGCCTGCAGACTTTCCATTACTTCCTGAAGCCTGATCTCTTGCTTCTTGATTTGTTCCTCCAAGGTCTTGAATCTGGAACTTTCGGCCATGGATCACGAGCTCGTTCTAAGGATTCAGCTAGCTCTGATACCACTTGTCAGGCCTCTGGATCCATTGTCATTCCCTGACCTTGAATTGATTTTGAATCTGGTGATAATCGAGAATTGTTGGAGCTGGGAAGGGTGAAAGAGAAGGGAGAGAATTGAGAGAGAGTAGGAATAGAGAGAGAAAATATTTGGAAGAGGGAAATTCTGTTATAAACTCTGATACCTTTTCCGCCAATCAAAGTAGTACAAATAGGATGAAGCAACAGACAATCAAATTTGCTAACTAAATGTGTTATGCGCTACACGACGTCGTGCTAATGAATTGGAGTACCCTCCACGACGTCGTTCTACCTATTGCTGTTTCTGCTACATTTAAGTGGAACGACATCGTTCAGTTATTGAAGCTTTAAAAAGAACGACAGCGTTGCGCATTGGGGCAAAATCAATTTGTCTAATTTGTCTGATTTGGAAGATCGATTGCTGTGTCCTGACACATGGCCAAGTCTGAAAAGGATTAAGAAGTCCGTTGCAGCACTTTGAGTTTGCGGAATTGAAAATGACGTAGAAACGGCATTGTTGTTTCTACAGCAAGTCCGACGTCAAATGACCTTTTCATTTTGCTTTTAGATGTTAGGCCAGTTTTGTACCGTACTTCAAGTTTACACAAATGTCCGAACCCATTACATTACTGTACTTCATAGTAATCGTCGATTAAATCCCCCGAGCCCAGACAAACTCCTTTTTCTATTTTTAAGGTTTTTCCTCCTCCTCTTTTGCTACTGTTTGGATAGGAAACTATTTGAAATAATTTTTTTAAAAAAATATTGTAACATTTTTAAAAAATGTATTGATAATACAGATAAATTAGTGTGTGTGTGTGTGTGTAAATAATGTGCAATTCAAAGCATTGGCCGGTTGCTGCACTTTTGCGAGTGCCCAACACCTTCAATAAGCATCTCAAGCTTCAAGTTCTCATATCGCTTGTTGAGTTTACGCAGCCTTTAACAGAAAGCAATCATCCACAAACGAGGGAAAGTTTCCATAGCAAAAGGTACCTGCTTTATTGGTCTTTAATCTTTTATACGTACCTGCGATGTGATCCGGCCGCTTGATGTGTGTCCACCTCATCAAACACATAATGTTGCTTTTTTTTTTTTTGGTATAAATCATATGTATCTGCATACATTTTATGATCTATGATTAATTCTGTTATAGTCAAATTGAGCCTCTTGCGGGGATAATTTTCCCAACGCTAGTTAGTACCTGTTGCATACTCAATTAAGAGAAAAAATGCATAATATGTATGATAAATAAATTTTTCATCGCTAAAGCAAATTTTAATCTCTTAAATTTCTTTCACATAACAATTGTTACATTGGTAGTTACGGTGCTAAGGATTAATTACGTAGTTGAGAAGCAAATAGTTGAAGCAAAAGGTGTTTTCAAGACAGGCTAACCATAATTATGAGCTTAGGTAGTTAAGATGAAAGTAGTCACCATAGAGTAAATATGAGAATTCATAAAATGACGTATAACGTTTACACCAGGACTCCCTTCCTCTCCCTTATTGCATAGATATTGTCATTTCAAAGCATTTCAAATACTATTAGATAAATTTGGAGCTCTGGATAAACCCATGAAAAATCAAATCAAAGCAAGTGTTTTGATGTGGAAATGGGGAAAAATGGTTTTAAATTTTTAAAATGTAACTATGTTGTGACCATTTTGTCCTTAATAGTAAGGGTAAAATTGATAATTAAAAGATGACATGTTTTTTTAATAAGGGTAAAAATGACATATTTTTTTTACCACCAAACTCTACTCACGTTTTATATTTAGACTAGTGGGTGAGGCAAACATGTGTGTGTATATTTTAGGGAAAAAAATAAATAATGCAAATTGATACAGATTAACAAACTAGTCAAAGCAAGGAAATTAATTAGAGTCGTGAACTTTTCCCCTTGTCCATTGATTGAACTTGGTGGGAAACCGGGGGTAAGTATGGTAGTAACGAATAAGTATATTAGTAGGAGTTAATGGAAGCATGGACCGGGGGGCATGAAATTAGAGTTGCAAACAAGTCATTTCCACTCAAGGGAGCTCGGCTCTAGATCGGTCAATATCGAGTTTGAATTGACTTGACAAATGGGTCAAGTTGAATATACGGATACTTGACTCGTTAGCTCGTCAAACTAGCTTGAATTTATATATTTTTAATAATAAAATTATGTATATGTCCCCTATATTTTTATTATTTAATTAGGATAAATTGTCAATTTTATCCATTTTGAAAAAAAGAAAAATTATTTTTTATTTTATTTAAATTTGAGTAGACTCAAAATTGAATTCGACAAAGCTCAAATTGGAGTTTGAACTCGAGCTTGAGTTTTAAAATGAAAATTCATTGAATTTGAATTCGAATTTGAACCCAGTCAAAATTGAATTAAGCACGACTATTTAGACCAAAATTCAATTCAACTCGGATTGTTTGCGACCATATATGAAATGGTAGTATAGTATTTCATCTTGTAATAGTAAAATTGGGATAAATTTGATGATAGAATTTTTCAACGCTAAATCCATAACAAAGGCTTTATAAATAGAGAGAGATATATGTGCCATTGCGTTTCCGCTCAAGGCATCAAATGGGTCAACTATGCCTCTCTCGCTAAATAAAATTACGTCCTGTGCAACCAAAGTTACTCACGGTTGAAAATGGTCAAAATCGTTGGTGAGTGCAATCGTCCGTGCCCCTTGTCCCACATTCCAGGTGACTTTGAGTGTGTTTGGATTGCAAATTTATTTCAAATAATATTACGCTTGTATCATAAACACATTTTTCACCTACCTTTTTATATTCTCAACTACTTTTTATCTCACATACATCAAATCACAAAAAATGCTTCAATAATTATTCCAAATAATATTTCAGATAATACTCTATCCAAACACACTTTTTGATATTTACCACTATTTTCTCACTTGTCTTTCTCACGTAATTGCAATGGCATGTCAATCAGGAAATAATTTCAGAAACATCTTTCTAACAATTTAGATTATCTCCTCTAAAGTTTAAAAAATTACATTAACCTCTCTTATTATTATTACTAAATGACTACACTGACCTTCACAAAATCTACTAATCATATGAAAATGGAGTTAAAAAAAAAACAAAAAAAAAAAATCCTTTCCCACTAAAACCTCTTTATTTAAAAAGCTCATGTCTCATTTCACCTACGACAATATCTAAAAACTCTCATCTTGTTTCCTCTGATTGGATTTCTTGTTCAATTATGCAAAAAAGCCGATCAGCCAATAAGGATACATTTGTTCTAACTTAAAATTCTTCTATCACTAAAGTTGTTATAGAAATCATGTAAGGATAATATAGGATATTCATTGCATCCTTTGTGCATATATTACCAATTGTTATCAAGACACGGCATATGAAGAAGGTTTCTATAATTTTTCAAACTTCATAGAAGGTAACTATAACTGTGAAAAACTTTAAGGCACGTTTATGAAATTATCCCATTAATCAATTCCTACTTATCA